AATCTGATGGAATTGTTGTGGCCTATATATTGCAAAACTGGTAACAAAACTAAATTACAATGACAAAAAAACACAGAAATGCAAAAAAGTTTTAAAAATATCTTAAAAGCTATAATTATTTTGATTCACATAAGCATCCGAGTGTGTGTACCTAATACCTTGTGAATAAAGAATACCTATTAAAAATGTGTTTACCAAAACAATACACAGAAATTATGACACAAAAATTGTCTTGCAATTGGCAACAGACAACTATGGACGAAATACACTAGAGTTTTAATAAGAATGAGAAGATATTGACGTGTGTCTGGAAACTGAATGGTACTCACCGAACAGTAACGTCGAAGCCAGTCATTTGCACGGCGTCAACACATTTCATTTGTCAAGCGCTATCCGATGGCAAGTCGGCGGTACAAGCCATTGATGTCCATTAGGCCCTCCGGCGGCCAGCGAACTCCGCCGATGGTCACGGATAGCCGGACGACACAAACGACCAGCGAAACAGTCGCACGCACTTCCATCGGTCATCGTTAACCGCGTCCCCGGCGGCAAAACAATTACAGAAACCCACAAAACAACACAAGAAATTCAGATAGCGAAACTCGTAAAAATTTAGACGACGGATAACGAAACTTAACTTATAGAACGAACTTGGGGGACACGGACGACCCGTCGACGCGAAACGGAACACGACGGACTTACCGCCACTACAGCCTATGGCCGGAGGGGAGATGTTGTCCCAAACATCAGTGCAGGGACGCGTGGGGGGGTCGTATCACGGGAACGACGATGGCCGTGGAAGAGAAAACTTTGGTTCTCGTCCGGTCCATCAGCCGCCGCTGAGCACGTCGCCCGGGTATTGGAGAACAAAATGCACGTAAACATTTTAATACTGCAGCTCACTACGGCATTGCAACTGCACCGGTGCAGCTGTTCCGCAATCGTTGGTTATCCGATGATTGTTGGAGTTTTCGTTTACGTTGCTTTTCACCGACCGTTTTGCGCAACGTTCACCACCGTTAATGGTACCACGGAACCGGGCAACCAGTGTGACCAACATCAATCGAACGTCGGCCAAGGGGTCAAGGTCTCGAAAAACTTCACTCCAAGAATAAACATTTTTTTAATCACATCAGTGATCGAGTTGCATATTAAGATTATCTATCATATTCGTCGTATTTATGACGTATATTCACGTATTTGACGCGACATAACAATAAATCTACGACTGTCCTAAGTCTACGACAACAATATCATATTTTATATAATTATATTGTGTTATAATATATGAACATTCTTTAGTAAACCTTATGATTTTTTTTTTTTTAATTCATACCGAGACACAAAATAGAAAATTCACGTCCAACAACATTATTAGATACTTATATTGTTTTCTATCCTAAATATCAAAAAAATTAAAAATGTATCGAACGAAATAATTTTATAATAACATAATACAAAAGTATTTAGGTAATTATTTTTTGAAGTTGAACAATTTATTGTTAAGGGGAATTTTGAAAACCAAATGAGAACCACTACTTTCTATTTGTGCATTAGGTACCTTAAACTATTTCTCCATTAATTTTAATGGTCAAAAAACGTCTTTATATGACATTTTTGTTGTTTACCAAGTTAGTAATTTATTATCCAACATCCAACACTCAAGTATCAGTGCGGATATGTATAATATACTTATGTATTAAATGCTAATAAGTTCTATAGGAGACTTGAATTGATTTTATGCATTGAACACTGAATAATGTACAGTTTACAATAGTGACTATAATATGCAACATCGGGAAAAAAAACATTAATTATATACTATATAGCTCTTTTGGTACTTATTGGTTTTTTATCACCATCCATGCAGTTACCACGCCATATAAAATGTATTACTCTACCACTGGGTGAACGACCATTGTACTATGATATTTTTTAAATAACAGTTAGTAATGATAATTTTTAATCAATCATTTCCTTTAAAAGTTTATTACTCGAGTATATTTTTGTATAAATTTAAAATCACTAGAAAAAAAAATTATATTTATTGAATGACAAAGTTTTTATCAACAATTTACTAGACCTATAACGATTATTAATTATTATTAATTTATGATTTATTTAAGAGTAATATAAAAGCAATCGACAATCGTTACTTAAACGTAGAAAAAACATAACCCAAACACACTATCATATATTTACATATCTTCAGACAATAACAATAACGACCGATTTAAATATAATTTATCAAATACTATATTATATTAACTATGAATTTTATAATAGTAAAACCATAATAAAGGTTAATATAAATTTAAAAATATATATTTCAACTCACATTTAAAATAAAAATATTTTAATTAAAAATTCTAATTCATTTTAGTGAATTTGGGCATCTACTTAATAACTTAATCATACAAATAATATATTATTGTTTGAAATTTTTTAGGAGTTTGATATAGGCAATTTTATAATAAAACTTTTGAATCTTAAAACTTTCAAGCCATCAATGTATATCTATAACTTATTAGGACTTAATTAAAAAAAACAATGAAGACTTAGTAATTCAAACATTGTTTAACCCTATTGGCTAGAATAAACTTATTGATTATAATTTATCTATAAGCTCTTAGTAATTTTAAAATTAACTATATACACTCCAATAGAAAATTAGCAATTAGTTTTTTTATATTATGAAATTAATGATAATTTGCAAAAAAAAATATTCCAGACTAGTAAATTACAACCAATATATATAAGTATATAACTTAATAGCCAACGGCTTATCATTATAATAATCGTATATTTTTGTACCTATACGGGCTATACGCATTAAGGAATTTTTGTATACTTAAAAATTATCTTTACTACAAATATTTATAAATATTAAATAATATATATAAAGCTATATTTTCTAAGATTTAACTTCTATAGACTATAGTCTATATCACCAATGATCATTGCCGTATCATTACTCTTTACAAGTGGATTATATAAAATCATTATATACATCTATAACAATATACTAATGTATTGTTTATTATCCCGCCAGTAAAATATTTTCATAATTTATGGTCGTTGGTTAAACGGAATAATAAAGTAAAACTATAATAACATATTATTTATTAATATATACTTACCTAGATGTGTTATTTAATATTAAATAATATTATTTATTTTAAACTATAATTTATTTATTTTTGTCCTCTATTCATGTTTTATAGCAACTTAAATAACGTACTCGTGGTAGAATAACTGGAATAAATATACACCCAGGATTCAACTGTCTTGAAGCACTTCAAAAGTATTTAAAATCACTATTAATTTTAAATCACTTTAAAAAACCCGAAAATTTTGGTATACTTAGTGTAAAGTAGATTTCGAGTGTATCCTTGCCACACCATGCCTCTTTATTACAATTGTGAGCTATAATGCTATATTATTATAAAATAATAATAATAAAACTGATGTTAAATTTCCCAAACAGTTTCCCAAATAAATTTTACATAAAAAAATTCAAATAAGTAAGAAAATTGAAATATATTCGTGTATAGAACACTGATATAAAAAAAACAAAATCACTTTAAAATCGGAGATTAATAATGAAACAAGGGGAAGTTTAGACACCCTACTGTTCCTACCTCTAGTTCCACCCAAATTAATCAATGGCTGCTTGTAATATTATATCGATAACGAGTAACTAACTTAATATAATATATCTGAGTATAATAATCTAATTGTACAAAATTATGTTAGGTACTAGAAAATAGACGAAGAATTGTTAATATAATATTTATGTATAAGCATACATTTAAATAAAATATAATGCCCGGACTTTTAATGCCATACTTTCAGTTACTATATTCGTCTAATATTTAACTCACATAATGACATAACTTTAATATGTACTTAACGGTATTATAAATCGTATGTTAAAATAAAACTCAATGTTAAAATCATTACAAATGCTAAATATTTTGATATTTTTATTAGGTACATAATTTATTACTTTTCTTAAAAACAAAATTTAATAATTTCTGTGTTGTTACATGTTATAAATAAGAGTTTAGCTTTATTTATCTTTTATTTCATACAAAAATTATATTGAGCGATAGCAATTTGTAAGTCTATATTCTATGATGTATAAATTATTGTTATTAATGCCATATAATTATTTATGTCATTACTAATTATACCATAAGTTGTTTTATTTGTTGCCGAAAATATTTCATTTATTTTATTTATTATTATTAATATCTCAATGAGTGTTCATTTAAAGTTAGAATTTAAAATTCAGGAATATTTAAAGTTATTTTCTACCTAGTTAAAACTAATTAAATTTATACAGCTAAGACTCAAGAATTTAGTAAAAGTTTCTTTATAAATAGTTCAGTTCTTTCAAAATCTAAAAATTTAAAAAACATATATTTTTTTTTGTTTAGTCTTTTAAAGTTCATATAATATTGACGTAAACTTTTTAAACAAAAGATGTTACTTTTATTACAAAATAAAAGTCATATTAATATGATATAACTGATATAAGTATGATAAAATCTTACACATCTTATGAGTTATGACTGGATTGAATCCTAAATAGATAATGATAATACATTAGGTGTGTCTTGATAAATGAGCATCTATATATACTAACTTATAATAAAACGACGATTATATTTACATAGGAAACTGTTAGAAAAATACGATTGTAATGATATAAATAAAACGTTTAGCCACTCTGCATTGTGTAAACAATAAATACAATACTTTATTATTGGCAACATACACGATACACATAATAATCAAATCTGCAATTTTCATAAATGTGTCTTGATTGCTGTTCTGTGTGTAACGCGACCGTGAACGTGTTATGACGACTTTGGCGGCGGATACGACTTCGAAGGGTACGGGGGCAATGGTGGTTTCCGTTTCGGCGCAGATGTCCGTATCGGACGAGATCGTGATCATCTCTTGGCAAATCCGTCGTGCTCTAGAATGTCCGATATGCCTGACGCTGATGTCAGTCATATCATGCTACTGCCCCCAACGGTCTTGCAGTATGCGAATCGTGCATGCTGACGCTAGTAAACATGAATAGCGCCCACTTGGCACGGGACGTTCGGTAGTTCGGCACGTGCGGAATCATGTTCGTTCGCGTACGCACCGGAACCAGCTGGATGCACCCGTGGGGCGAGTTAGAGTACTTCACCTTCACCAGATGAGACGACTCGATCAGTTTGTTGACCGTAGTCGACGTGCTCATCAACTTACGGCACAGCAGGCAGAGGTTTTCTTGGGCGCGTTTCATGTTTAATAGCGTTAGCATGTACAATTCGCACACCGCGTGATCGTTGAGGCAGTAGCTTGACATGACTAACATCGACGTTAAAATATCGAGCATTTCAGAGCACGACGGATCTACCGGGAGATGGTCACGATCTTGTCCAATTCGGACATCTATGCCAAAACGGAAACTACCACCGCTGCCATCGCCACAGATGATTTCAACGGGGACGGTTACGTCGGCTACGTCTCTGTCGTCGTTTTTCGTTTTCTGAACATTTTTTTCTCGTCGATTTTTAACGTGACATAATAACATGATATTACTATTATTCGTACGCTGTAAATAATAATAATAATAATAATAATACGATTTAAAATTCGTATTCTTGCATGTTTTCAGACGAACCGGCTGAACGTAGCCAACACGAGCGATATTAAAACAAATTAGAGACGAACTTACCTATAGTCTGATGGACGTATGACATGATATGGGTACTGTTGTCCCGGATCACTTAATCGTGCATTCAAAAGACATTATTCTTGATGAACAACCATTGAGGCAGCCGTCGATGACGATTCACTGTTATATACATAATTGGATCGAGACAGTCTACAATATCTGTATAGTGTCTGTACTCTGCACCATGATAGCATCAAACAGTTACAAGGATTGGTGTATTTTTATTAAGTGATAAGGACCATAGTCCATAATAACCAGTTAAGTTTTTTCAATAAAATAAAAATGTAGCATGCTACTAAGTATTTTTTCTCTGCAAGAAAAATTGAGGAATCGTGGTCCGTGGATATTTTATTGGATATAAAGCAGCTTAAACACTAAAAACAACAAACCGTATGGCCACAAGTAGATTTTAAATCAACGTTTAGATCGCCTCCAGCAATGATAGGTTTTCAGTCGCTACAGCCTATAACAGAGGTCTTCGACCTTTTGAGGCAGTGGGCCACCTATTATTTTTTTTTTTAAATCTCGTAAGCCACATTTGTAGTAAAAACTCGTATTTTATACTAAAATTCAATTTTATTATAATTTTTATGATTACATTTTATATTATAAACTATTATTATTAAAACACATATAGATTAACACATTTAAATTTTAAATTACAACTTATTTATTTTATTTTCAGATTTTTACGTTTATAATTTATAATTTACGTTTATTTAACCGACATATCACATATTAATATATTATATAAATATTACGAAGAAAATGCGTGAAATTGTAACTTTAACACAAAACGAGTATTATATTCGTTCCTCAACCGATAACGAACATGCAACTGATAACATTTATACAGTTTATCCTATCGCATATTTCCCAATTTTTTCGATAGCGATGTCTTAAAGCTTTAATAATGGCTTATAGCTATTCTAATTTTATTAAAATATAAAAGATAAATGTTTTATTTCAAATGTGTTCGCGGACCGCATAATATAATGACAAGGTGGCCCATGGGTTAAAAACAATAAAAACCAAGGGGTCTATACTCTATAGCAGCCATTCTATGACCTATTATACTACATAGTCATAGAATAGACCACTGATTATTAATCTCTATAATTTTATAATTTATTAATGTATTGAATTTGAATTAAACGGTTCATCATTTTGTATGAAAAACAATTTTAAACAAAAATAGTGTGTTAGCCTATCCACTTTTAAATTATTTTTCAATTAGTACATATAAATATTGTTGATTCATTTTCTACAGTAAAAAAAAAACAGCTAAATGGTTTATTTTGTGTTAATTATTATTTTTGTAAGATTATAGAGATAAAATAATTCTATACAGAATACAGATACAGTATGCATATAATTAGAAGGTGAATTTCATAATACATAATATATATATATTAAAGGTAAAAACATAAATGGGATTATTGTATGATTGAGAACTAAGAAAACATTACTACGCCATGTTTTTTTTTAATCTGTAACGAAAATTTCCATGGAGTAAAAGACAAAAATAAAAACACAATTCGTAGTAAAATAATACATTTATCGATCCAATTATAATCTGAAATTATAATTTTTTTAAATATCAAAATATTACGAAAAATTATGATTCATAAATGGTTATGGTATAAAGGTGAAAAAAGTTACGAGAAGAGAAGTAAGTAATATCATTAATTATAAATAGTACTATATTAATAATCAATGGTTACATATACAATTCTCACTTTTCTTTATTTCCGCAATTTATCTTGCTACTTCGTATCTACATGTAACCACCTTAAAACAATGTAATAAATAATTATTAAAATTGGTACCTACTATCAATGAATAATAATAACAGAATCGTTTAAAAAAATATATATATTCATATACCTTTTCTTTCTTTTTTTTTTTAGTTATAAATCCATATATTTATTGCAGCTCTTCGCATTCTTCTCTATCGTAGGACAATTCTTTCTAGTCTTTGTAATTTCCTTTATTTGTATCCTGCATTATCTGTTTCACGAATTCTGTCCTCGGTCTTTATCTTTATAAACCAAAAATTTTAAGTTTAAAGATAAACCAAAAAAAAAAATATGATTTTGTGTTTATAAATTTTATTTTTGTATTAATAATATTAGATTTTTAAATACTTCATAACATCAATCTGTATTTTATCGTTGATCGTGTGTTTATAATTGACATATAGTATCTACCTATATTATAATAGATATATTATCGACTCTCTACTCAGCATCCCCGCCACCCGTCTCTCGCGAATATCTATAGAATTTTAACACTTTGCATGTATACGTTATGATCGTTTATAAAAATGTAGTTTAATAATTTTTGGTACAAATTAACTTAATCACTCAACTCAAAAAAATATGTCGAAATTTACGCATCTCACCAAGTTAAAAATGATTGAACAATTATAAATTGTCATTTAGACTTTTTTTTAAAGTTATATAGCCGTTTGAAGTTTTCATTTACCACGATAATCACGCGTCAAGATGATGGATGGCGCGTGCAGATAAGTAATTACACAAGATAATGTAACATAGAATTTTCCTGTTTTTCAAATATTACAAGAAATATCCAAAAACAAACCTTCCTAATAATATGCTAAGCTACATAAAACCGCTTTATTGATTTAATATATTTAACTATCATAGGCGATTGGCTACTAAATAATATATAAGGGACCGTTACAATGGTCTATACGCAGTGAATGGCAATGAGCTGAAGTTCTTCCCTATCGCTCACATTATTATTTCTTTTTGTTACTCACATAAGTTTTCAACTTAAATAAATTAGTAAGTAAGAATATGTATTTATAATTCATATAAATATGTCTTAACGGATTAGTATAGCTAACACAAATAAGAAATCAAAAATTATAGAAGTTAAAGTGCACTTTCTTACAAATATTTTTAAATACCTACTTCGTCTAAACGTCTACTGTGATTAGACTAGATAAAATAAAAATAAAACTATTTTATTACCCATTACCTATTAATTAAATGTTATTTTTTTTTCATAGATTTTTCGTGTATACTTTGTACTGTTTGCACAATTGTACATACTAATAAAACTAAGAAATCACTTCTCTTATTTTTCAAACCTTATCTTGTGATAACTGAGTAACTATTTATATTCAAACACTCCCCTCCTTGAAAAATCATGCATCAGTGGTTCATTAGGCCATTAACTCACTTTTAGTATGATTGTATGAAATGTTTAGTGCTTGTTTCTTACGCATTATAAGAGGCAAGACCTTATAGAGAAAATAATTGTTTTAAACAAAGTTTGTAAAAGTTTTTGTGAGTTAGTTTTTCTTTTTTTACTTTATGATAACTGATGAGGTTTTTATCATTGTCACTTATACAAAAAAAAGGCACATATTATACCCAAGATTTGATTAATAATAGGTGCATTACTAGTCGTAAATGTAATAATAACAAACAAATTCTTAACTCTATGTCGTATATTATATATATGTATGTATATTTATGTATATATTATGATTAATATGTACATGTACCAGTGTGCAGTAGCATAGCCAAAGAGAGAATAACATTTTACAAAGCTACAGAATCCTACCTGAAATTCAAGCAAAACAAAAAATGCTTTCAGTTTACTGCATATGAACGCATGATGTAAACCATAACCATGTATTATATTTGTAATTTATTTTAAGGTTGTAAAATTCTAAAATCTTAAATACTCTTGGTATCAACTAATCACCATACCAAACTTATGAAAGTTCTCAGTGTTAGGTTTCCTTTGAAAAACAAATTATCAATCCTGGATACGTACGTCATTGCAGGTACTATAACAACTTTACTATACTCATTATTATTCTAGCATAATTGTGCATATTTATACCATATTTACATTGTGTGTAGGTACTCCCACAGACCACAGTCATAGGCGCAACTAGGATCAATTTTTTTTTTTTGTTTTGGGGGGAGGGCTAGAATTTTAAAAGTTACACAGACCTAACTAATTAACCAAACTACCACAAAAAAAAACAATACATATTTAAATTCTCATAATAATAAATATTTTAATATTTAAATAAATTTAACATTAAATTAAACACTAATTTTCTATCAGTTAGGTACAACAAATTTTTCAATTATTGTTTTTGTGTCTAAAGTATTTGTTATGTTTCTTTCTATATTAAATAAAGATAAATTAGAAAATCGTTCTTGCTTCATTGTAGTTCTCTGCCACGTTTTCAATCGCTGCATTGATTAAATGAACGTTTATATAATAAGCTATTTAATAACTGTCAAATGATTTCCGATAAGAGACAAGAAATAAAAACCATACCAGTGTGACACACTAACACAATGGCTAATGTAACAAATGCAATGCGTTTAACACGTGTATATTTTGTTAATGGAATTTTCAACATTGATAATATCTGAAATAATAACAATATTTAGGGGGCTAAGATCCCCCAAACCCCTACCTATACGCCTATGTACACAGTAGTAAAAAATGACTATAAAAGTACTACAATAGTTTTTTTTGGAATATACCTATTTCACGCTTTTAATAATACTAACTATGCTTTTTCCAAACACCTACATTCGAGATTGAGTATTCACTCATACAAATGAATGTACTGACATAATAATATGTATGTTTTCTGCCACTGCGCAAAACTTCTTAAGTGTATAATTTATAAAGATAAATTAAAATTTTTCAGAAGGGTAATTTGGTTATGTTTTTTGGTTTGGGGATAAGGGATTTGTTGTAAAATATAAATATTACCCAAAAAATAATTAGTAGGTATTTACTTTATATTATTCTATATTTGTATATGTGTATATATAGGTAATTTATAAGTATTAAATTACACATTTTACATTAATATGGCACCGACGTGACAGTATGAAATTTATGAAAGAAATAAGTAGGTAATAGCTTATTTATATCTATTATATAAATTATTATTTAATATTTTAGTTGTCTCAAATTTTCACGTAGTTTAGGTTTATTATAATCTACTATACTCTATATAATGTGTAATATTACACTACGTTAACTTTATTTTTATATTGTAAATAACTTAATTTATTAATCTATATTCTATACATAGATATACAATTTTATATTAATAACTTATTAATTATTAAAAACCTATAGCAGCCAGCATAGGAATCTATTTTTCTTTTTACTTTACCTATTTTTATTAAATAAATTATGATACTAATATACTATGATAATAAATACCTAATGACTAGTTTAAATGCACTAATGTGGTGTTGGTACATACTTACTAGTGTGTGCCACTTAAAAAAAAAGCTTATGGAGGAATAAAACACCCTCCCCTCTATCCTTTTGATTATGCAGGATATGCGATGTTATCTTTGAAAAATCTATAAAACCAAAAAAAGGAGTTGTAAAATATACTGATTTTAAAGTCTTACAGTAATTAATTACTTTATATAACTCCTTAAACATTTTACTTATCATACACAAATACAAAAAATTAATGTACTTACGTAATTAAATTAACAAATAAATTAATAATAATATAATTGATAATTGTGATATACAATTATTATTAAATTTATTATCAGATAATGTGTATAATTGATAATAATATTTACTGCGTCCATCCCCAAAACCCAAGATTATGATAAATATATGCCTCATGAGGATTTGTTGTGATCTGTCCACTTTACCACCGATTCGTTCCTATACAATTATGTGGCTAACTAGTACAATCTATAGATCGGTGAAAAAGGAAATAGTTAAATCACCGACAAACCTATATAACTTTTATATATATATATATATATATGTGTGTATGTATGTTTATACATAGATACATATACATTACGCACACTGACCCGCAGTTCTTTTTAAGAATCTATATAGTTGTGGTAAGCAAGTAAGGATTTTAAGTAATAACATTTGGAAACTAAAAAAAACTAGCTGACCCACAAACTTTATCTTAAAGCATATCGTTATAGCCATACTGCAGGTAAGTATATTATGTGGTGTGTACTCTATGTATTCTATGTATATATATATATGGACCTCTAGCCGTGATTACAAATAATTAAGTTTACACGTAGTTTAAAAATGTATGCCAATGATGACAATTAGCATTTAGCAGTCAAATATTTGAAGGTCTAATAAATCTATATGATATATTGAATAAATTATTTATTACGCTATATAATTTTGTTTAAAAATATTAAAACAATATACATGAGTGTATTTTACAGTTTATAATAAATATGTAAATGAGTAAATGCTTATAAGTTTATACATTTAATATACACTACTATGTTAGCAACTACAATGTCCTTTTAATTTTATCTTAAAAATAAAAGCTTGAGAGTTGAGCAACACTTGACCGCAATAATACCTACCTTAGATGGTTATAATGTGCATACATAATACATCAAAATTGCATAATAATATATGATATCAATTATCAATTAGTACATATTATTAAAATTAAAAATTATAACTAAGTACTACAGATAGATAATATGATATTATTAATGTTATGACTTATGACAGATAATGAGCCATAGTCGACACATTGATAATAAATGAATTGGAATGTTGTTTAAAAAATGTTTACCTATACGGCTATACCTGCATAAACATTGGTAGGGACACGCTATAAACGTATATTAGCATATATCAAAATACTCATTTTGAATTTTTTCCGGTCTTTCAAGTTTTGGACCATTTACCTTTAATAATAATTCAGAAATCAAAATACATGTATATAGTAAAAATAAATATACTTACGTAGTTGCGTTTTGATTAAAAAATATCTTATAAACATTAAAATTTCATTTCGAAATATAGTATTATCAATTCGCATGGTACCTATAATATTTATATATTAATTTATATTCAACATGTTATTATTGTTATATACCTATATACTTTAGTTATAGACAATACTCAAATACTTGGTATAAATAATTATCTAATAATAGTAAAAAAGTAATATAAAAAAATATAAATTAATAAAAACAATAAGTTATGTACTTATATAAAATATAATTTATATTATAATATGTACAAAAGTATATTATTCTACATCACTAAATATTAATCAAAATCAAAAATTAAAACACGGTAACATACTTTACTAGTTGCCAATTGGTGCAGTTATTGCTATCAGTCTTTATAGTACAGTGAGATCTATACTGCAAAAATCCTTATAAATATATATTAACTTAAAAATAAAAATATATAAATAAACATCACACACGTAACTAAGATTAAAATTAAAATATCTAGTGCATCTTGGAGGCTTTTATTAATATTTTAATTTTGAAATAAGTTGAGTGCATTTTATAAAATTTAAAATTTTTATGATTTTAAGATTATCATTACTATTGCTTCAACATTTAAATATTGATATTTAGTACCTTCGAGGTACAATGTATAACAAATCTTACCATAAAATTTAATTATAAGATAAATTCATCCTAATTTTAAAATACTGAAAAATAGATTATTAGGAATTTAACATTTTTTGTTTCTATAAGATAGATTCATAACATTTGTGAGGAATGTCATCCTCTTAATAATATTACCGTGAGTATGTATGAATGTATGATGGTTTTATAAAATCAAGTTAATAATATAATCTTCTAATGATATATTTTTTATTATTATAAATTATAAATTGCATTGAATAAGAAACTATTTTAAATAATTTTTAGGTATTCAATTTCGTAAAAATATTGCAAAACATTAAACATTGACTTAAAGCCTATATAGCATATTATTAGAAATAAAATATGTATTACTATTTCACTGTTTGTATTGTTTGTAGTACCTATATAAATTAGCGCTTATAATCAACAATAATTTAAAAAGTAATAATTTCGTTTAAGTTTTTTAATTTTGTAATTCGATTGTGTGGTAATCCTTAAATGGTAAGCAGCAATGACTTAACGTCTATACGACTATACCTGATTCGAAATTAAAAGTTAAAGATTAAAAAATATGTACAGCGTATGTCTTGATTGTCTTGATTTGAGTTTTCCATTTTTCATTAAAATGGCTGTAGTTGAAAATAGGTACTATTAGACCCTTCAGATGATATATTATGCAGCTTCAAAGTTCAAGTGGAAATTTTTAAATAGGGTGTTAAATATTAATTTAATATGTTATATGATTAGTAGTTAAAAGTGAATACTATAAAATATAAATAAGTTCTTATATTTTATGAAAAAAATTATCAAATAAAATATTCTATTTTTAAGTATAAATTTAACTAATTACAAACTATAACACTTTTATTCTTAAATTATTTTTGTCTTTTCCTTCTTTTGAATTTTTTATACATATTTTCAATAAGAACAATGTTCTATCATTATTCAAGTATGAGTATTGTCATACATGTATAGACGATAGTATTTATATCAGCATTATATATGAAATTATATTTAGTAAGTACGTATATTAAGTACGTAGTACACTAGTACATAAATATAGGATACGTGTTTTAATGTTTAAACCGTTTAAGGAATAGGTGAGTAAGAAAAAGCGGACGTCCTTCATATATGTTGGGTTATACTATATACTACGTGAACCACAGGGGCGCATGCATAATAATATTATGTTGTTCTTATTATTATTACATTTTAATACAATTTTTAACCAATTATAATCAAATTCAAAGTAAAATTTTCAAATACATAATATGTAATTTATACAGGTTCGTATTTAAGGGGGAGGGCACTGATGAGTACGAAAGCGACATATCTTAGGGATGACAAAATATTTCAGCAAAATGTAATTAAAAAAAAATTTATAAGTTTTATCATGTTTATTTGTTAATTAAAAAAAGTTTTTAATCTTTTTAAACTATCAAACAAAAATATTTAACAAAAACTATAAAATAGGTAGGTACAATTATTTTTTTCCAGGAACGTTACAGTAAAAATGATTCAGTTTCCAGTGCTCATAAAAATGTACAAATGTACAATAAATTATAAATAATGTTCATTGAGAATAAATTGAATATTTTCTAACTACTATAAATATTTTCTACATAGATTATTGATTAAAATTTTACATAAAATATTAAAATAAATTTTATAAAACCATAAATAAATATATATATATATACATAAAAGGACAATAGTTATTAAAATATTACGTATTATGACGTATATGAATGTATTTAATGTGTCATACATTCAATATATGTTTTTTTCTGGACATATTTTAAAAGTATTTTTACAGCTATCATATCTATAAAGACATGCAACTTTTAAAAAATAAGAACCGTTTCAAAATAGTCATTTGTCTATAAACTATAACAAAGATAAAAGGTGTATTATCATAAAACTTCAATCAGTGATGAAAATTAATAACTGAAAAAATTAAGTTAAAAAAATATAAACATTAGAATATTACATTAATTTTGAATTCAATAACAAAAAAAAAAAACATATTTATAAAATGATGCAAAATTAAAATTTCCAAATACAAAGAAAAATATATTTAAAAACAAACGTGGTTTGCACTACATTCATATTGACGTACCCACAATTTTAACCTGATTTTTTTATGAAGCCAACTTTCTGAACCACAATATATCAGACTCACACATATTACACTTATAGATAGACGCTATGTACACATACACAGTCCTACACGGGTCACTTAATATCTGTATGGTTGTATCGTTTTGTGAATGAAACTAGTGAGAAATGCGAATAATGATAAGGACCGGTTTTATTTAGTTTTAACTTCAGTAGTACTGACAAATTTCTCACGAAGATATGTTGGATAATAGATGCATAGGTACCTATTATAAACATAATTAATTTAATTTTGATTGTTTTATTACTATATCACACATTCACACCACACTTAATAATATTATATGCACAATATAGACGTATACACGAAATGAGGTACTAAATAAATACGTATAATAATCGATATACTACAGTTATAGTATAAACAGTAACAAATGTTTACTATAATAATTTATCACTAAATATGTATATAATGTGTTTATAATATATTGTTACAATCAATTATTGTACATATAACTGGTGAAAAGAATATTCATGTTTTTTTCATAAAATACTCCATACATGTTAAAAGCAAAAAAGAAAAATAACAATTGCAATAAAATGAAATTGAAACCAATTATAAAAAAATGTGTTTGGTATCAGCTTTATAAATTTTGTTTATCTTCATTTTTTTTTTTTTTTAATCAACTTATAAGTGGTGTTTTTTTCACTTAACGTAATTTTCTAAACAATACCTACTTAGGCTTGATAGTAATTTATAAAATAATTATACAAACGTTTATAGTAAAAATTGTTTTACATAATAATATAACCAACAATAACAAATCTACAATGCGGAACTCGCCAAAACGTGTTAAATGTAGTGTATATAAAATTATTAAGCTGAGGGTTATATGTTATTATCTACTACCTACATACCTAAATACTGCAAAAATTATTATTTGGCGCAGAAACAAATTTATCAATCCATTAAAAATTAAAAAAATTCTAAGATAACATCACTGTAGGTTAATAATAAAAAGATAACACGTATACCAATGTTGAATACACAATGATGATATCCAAATTTATAACAAAAATACATAATATATAATTTTATTTTAGTCCAAATATTATGTTAATATACTATGTATTCGTACGAGTATAGTATATCCTGTGTGAGCAAAATAATTATTCTCATTTATTTATTTAAATTATATTTAGAATTTTCGTAAAATAATCTTTACTCTTAACTTGTTGAGTTTAACAATCAACTTTTTGTCAGATAAATAAAGTCAAACGTTCAAACTTATTCTATAAACAGCGAAATTTTGATGCGTTTTTAAAATTTTTTATAACTACGCTAAGTTTTGGGTTTCTATTTAAATTCTTAAAAAGGTGATTTTTGCTTTTTTCATTATCCTTTAGGACGATTAAAAATTAAAAAATTGTTAAAATGGTAATAGTTATCAAAAAAATAATTTAATTTAAATAATGAACAAAAAAATTAAAATATTCAATACTTTAATTACTCGTTGTATGTGTTTTCCAAAACTAATATAGTGCAACTGAACTTACTATTTTAGCTTAAAATCATTAAATTTATTTTAAAATATCTAAAAAAAAATTTGAATTTAAATTTAATCTTTTTTTAGAAATTATAAATATTAACGATTTTAATTTTATTATTTCTATAGAAAACTATAGACATCCTGACCTTTGTATACGACTATATAGACAGATATGGTCTATTTATACAACCTATAAAATATTAATGGAATTAAGAATAATTGCCAATACATTATACTCAGGCCTATTAAATAAAATACAAAATAACTAGGGTACCAAAGAGAAATTTATTTTTGTTTTCAATAATAGTTTTTAATAATTAAACTTCATGTCAAAACAGTAGATAAATAAAACACATTTTTCCATAGGTATAATAAATCTCCCAAGTTTAAATTACTGTAACAGATTGTGTGAATTCTGTTTGAAATATATAGGTTGGCTATTAGTTTAGGTACCTAATGTGTATATTTATTTATTTTAGATGATCAATTAAATGAATAAATAAACATAATATATTTATAATAATTAATATACATACAATATATTATTGTTATTTTATCACATAAAAAATAAAGTAATACAATTAAAAATATCAATGTTTTGAAAAATTAAAACATTGTCAAGGAAACGAATTTGTTTAAAATTTAACGAATCCATATAATTTGTAGGTATTTTTACCTAAAGAAAAAATAATAAATAATAAATAAAAATCAATACCCACACTGAGTCTTACAAACACAATAATATTTCTTATAATAAATATAATAAACATATTTTATATTATTATATGTATCAACAACATGAAGTCACCAAACCCTTTGCTTTTCATACTAAAATATTTTTATATAATTTTTCTCGCCTGTCCAATATATATTATACATTTATACACACTTTATTACTATTATATATCACTGTTACAGCAATATAAACAACTCACAAGTAGTACAATGACCTACAATGTGAAAATCTTATTTCCCTTTGCTGTTATACGTTTTAAAAACGAAAATATTTTTACTGATATGTATAATAATATAATATGTATACATGGTAAAGTGTAAAAAACGCGTAGTTAGCTATAATTTATGTATAAAATATTACACATAAATATCGAGTATTGGTATTTATATTATAATTTATAATATACGAACGGGTGAAACGAAAATCGTACGATTTTCAATCGAAACCAATCTGAAGGTAAGTACGTGTAAATCGTGTAATTAAAAAAAAATAATAATAATGGTAATGATAAAAACAAGAAAGAAAGAAACGTCGTAGAACGGCTTGTGTTTTTTTTTTTTTTTTTTTTTGTCCGTCCAACGGTTCCCACGGCGGTGGAATATTAACACGGTCGACCGCGTGTCCGGTGGTGGTAGCCGTGGCGGGCGAGCGAGCGAGAAAAAGCGTCGAGAAACGCTCGGATTTTGAGTAGACGGGGGTGGGGGAATAGAGTGAGAAAGAACGAACGGGTTACGGGAAACGTGCGAGTGTGCGTACGTGTAGTTGCGGGTTGGGGGGGAGGACGTGGCGGAGGTTTGAGAGGGTCGAGAGAGAGCCGAAAAAAACCGAATACGAAAAATCTAATAGCCACTGCCGCGCCGCCAAAAAGAAATAAAACAGATAATATACAAAAATAATATTGTAAGCGCGCAGAGAGAAACGTGCACACGGTATTTACCGTGTCGCCACGACCGTTGTACGATAATTCCCGACGGTGTCCCATCTACACCTGCGCCTGCACTGGCGCACCTGTGCGTGCCGCCACCGCTCCTCCAGCGCACTGCCGCCAAAACGCGGTGCGCCGGCGGGCCGTGGTGGAATAAATAAAACTATAATAATATATGACTGCGACTACTTAGCTCACGGGCTACGGTCGCGGTGAATGAAATTTAATATTTTTTTTCCCCGTGTTGGCGCAGTGAATTTTTTACCCACCACAACAACGACCCATCGATCAGAATTTTCCCCCCTCGCCGCGCGAATGCCACGGTTATTATTATTATTGTTTTTTACCACTCCGTAGTTTTTTTTTACCGCCGCGCGACACCGACGACGACTACACGCTAGCAGTCTCAATAAACGCGCGCGTGCCGTCGTCGACTGATCGCCGCCGCCGTCACCTCTGTTGGCGGCGACACGATTACGATAACATATTTAATTCGTAATTATTAAAATTATTTAATCGTGTTCATCGTTTCGATTCACCGTTTTAGTAAGACCTCGAATTGCCGCCGTTTTACGCGCATTTCTTAAATAATTAGACGTCATATCATTATTTTCGTCTCCGCGAAACGATACCAACAACACTGCCGAAGAAGACAACAACGAGAAAAACAACAACAATATTATATTATAATAATAATAATATGTAAAACCGTATTATCGGGATTTTGTGTGTACGTTCTCGGTCGTTCCGTCCGGCAAACCCGATATAACGCTATTATCTGAACGTGATAAGACAGTCCCGTCCGTGAGCGTGTGCAAGTGTATTTTTTAATAAATTTTTTTACCGTAATTCCGTTTCAGTTTTTTTTTATTCCTTCACTCACCGATTTCTCCGAACTCAAAATGCGTGTGCGTGATTTTACGACGACCACGACTAACGCGTATGTGTACGACCGACGACGTCGGCGCGGCGGCGGCTACACCGCCAAGGGCCGTAATCGCTTGCGTTGTGTGTGTGTGTGGGGGGGGGCACGCGCGTCGTCGACGTCGTCAACGCGGCGACGGCCCTTTATTGATTTTTCCGTATTCGCGTGTCGTTCAGTTGTTGTTGTTGATAAGGAGAGTGAATTTTTTCTATCGTCGGTCGATAAAATTTTTTGCGGGGGGGTTCCTTCCCCACTAGTTGTGGTCGTCCGTCAACCAACACTACCGCCGCACCACCACTACCTCTTCCGCCATGGTTGCCTTCACTGCCTTCGGCCGCGGCTCGACGACGTTGGCGACGACGGCCGATACATGAAAATATTTACGGAACCGGAACTAATGGCAGGAAAAGGCGCACGCACGCACGCACGCATACTCAACACGCACACGACGTGTAAATAAACAAACGTACGGAAGACGGTGATCGAAAACGGTGACGAGCACGAACAGACTTCGATTCACCGGGGGCGAAAACTACCGAAAAATTCATGAACACGACGACTATAACAGTAACAACAACAAGACGGCATTGCAGAATGCCGCTAACCGTACACGCTCGCGTTTTCTGGTGTGTTCGGATTGCCTCGAGTTCTAGATGACGAAGATAAATGGCGTTCCGGAGAGCTTGTTCATCAAAAAATGTCTGTTATAGGACGACGTAATTATCGCCTCATCGTCGATTTCACACTAGGTAAATGAAACAATATTTCACTCATTCCATGAACATAGTTCAGGTAACTTTGCTGTTATATCAATCACCATTATTGAATACCTTACTCAATTTGGTGGAGAAAGATGACTCAATCGTGTTGATTACCAATACTGTTATAGGTGCCCTTTTGTATTTCAACGATATAGCGATTTAATATCATGTTATCAATTCTCTAGCTATTACATGCACATATAGATACCTAGCCAATTGAATTGGCTTTTCAGTTTTAATGGATCACATCAGTAAGCTCTTCTTTTATTATAAATTACTCATCATTACGTTACTGAATACAATATTCCTTAATGTTGTGTTTTCTTAGCTAAACTTTATATTTTTGCCATCAACCACTCGTTAGATAGAGTTAATGATTAGGTATATATGGTGCTTGTTGTTAAGTGAAATAGATTTACAAAGTATTAATATAGGTTACGGACATATTAAAATTATCATGGGAAATAGGTAATAATTTTAGGAATATTATTTAATATTATTTAATTACATTCAATTTATCCATTGGTAATAATTATTGAACAAAAAAAATTAAATTAATAACTTACCTATTTCAAAAAAAATATGTTTTAGGTAAATACTTAGAGATCATAACTAATGCTTAACTTTTTTTTTTTTTAATGTAATTTTTGATCCAAACATCCTGAATTACAAATTCAATAATAATACTTTAACATAGAGCATAACATTTGACGATATTACAGAAATGCCTTTCTTAAATTTGATTTTATAAGACACACCTTCTATGTAGATACCTATTATCATATATTTATTAATTTTATACAATAATAACAATATCTATTAATGTAATATTTCATTGAAACTTATACTCTCATCTTTTGTCTTTCGTACAAAATTTTAATACTAAACTTTATTTTAAGGGAGGTTAACCATTAAATATTGTTTATGAAAAATTCTTGCTTGTTTATTTTAATAATTTAAGATGTGCTTCTGAAAAAAAAATTAGTTGTCATAGCTAAAATAATTAATTTAACCACTAAACCACTATATATTTGATTTGTGGATCTGTCTCAAATATTATGTTAACTTAATTTCGCAATAAAATATTGTATAAATTTGAGAAGTTAAAATTGTACAACATACCTAATCAAGCATACAGTTGTATTTTATTCATAAAGATGTCTAAAATTGTTTTTTCTTTCATCAAAGCTAGTTTAACTGGAAACTGTTTTGATGTATTTATATGTTATCTAATTTTTCTGATTGTACTGACTATTATGACTGTATATATTTCAGAGTCTTTATAGCCTTCATTTAAATCTTTTCTATAACAAACTTTAAAAATAGGTATCTAGCAAGCTTAGTTAAATAACCAAATTTAATTTTTTTTCTTTTAAATGATTAGGAATATAATTAATATAATAAAATAATATTTTTTTTATTACAGATTATCATAAATTGATGAGTATTTAGTTAATTTATTGGAAAAAAAAATGATACTGATACAAGAATAATGATTGCTTAAAGAAGTAAGTTTTAATTTTATGTCTATAATATAGTGTATTGACCTGATTTACTTTTGGTTTAATCTTTTTAAATCTGATAATGGTTATTGATTAGTCTTTTTATAAAAATAAATGATTGTTATTTTAGAATAAAAATATCTAAACAAATTATGTATATTTTTTACAAAACTAATAATTTTCATTTTCATTCCAATAAAATAAAAAATAAATCATATACATATTTATAGAACAAATGCATATCAATTATAAATAAGTTATTGAAAAAACATAATAGAAAAGTAGTGCATTTATATTTACAAAAGTATAGTAAAATATTAAATTGTGTTTTTATTGTCGATCATATTAATTTTAATATGCATTATAAATGCATGATCCATATATTGTTTAAGTTAAGTATACTTAATAATTTTATTTATATAAAAAGAAAAATAATTTTAGAATAATATTTTAATACCTAGAATGTATAAAATATAAAACACTTTTTAAAGTATAGGTATATATTTAAATAATGACACTAAAAAATATATTATGTTAAGCTTTTGGTTAAACATTCAACACAAATTGTTTTTTGGTATTTTCTTGTTCTTAACATATAATTTCTGTTTAAATAAGGTAAGCTAATATTTGATAAATAATTTTAGAAAAGTGTAAAAATAATGAATACATATTATCAACAACTATTGGATATTTGGATTTTACTTATAATTTTAGTTTCTCATAGTATTGAATGTATAAAAATATTAATTAATTTAATATATTGTGTGAATTATTTATTAGAAATTCAATGTCTTAAATCTTTGTTGTTGTTAATAGGTAATATATGATTTTTATTTATGTTTTAAAGGTACCTTTTGTAATTGTCATACTATTAACTAGAAAACTGTATATATTATAAATGGTATTTAATTATTTTGAAAACATTTCATTATTAATTAATTCTTAAAAATCTAAATATTATAAATCCATTATTTAAAACCTAGATGTGAAATCAACAAATTAAATATATTTTTGAAGTATCCGTACTAGGATTAGCAAGTATACAACATTAACTTTAGTGCTCCAGGTAAAGTTTACTATTTGTAAAACAAACTCTTCAATTCTTAAGCTTTTAAGAAAAAAATTATATACATATATACTTAACCAACTAACATTTTTAAATTGTAAAACATAAATAATAATAGATTTACATTAAATATACAAATTCCAATACATTTTATTGTGGAAACTGCATCCTTACAGTATCTACATAAGATGTGGATTTGTAAGCTTACATTAAACTAACCAAAATAATTTCATTAGGCGGGTACGCTTATTATTAATATGCTTCAATCGGTGTTTATTCAAAATAAAACAATGTAGGTGCTGGATTAACATATTTCATTTACTCAGTTACCTTTATTCAAATAAGGCAATTACAATGATTCCATTTCTTCTATAAGCTTACCATCATTTACTCCAGGTTTTGGGTACTGTGATTAATATATACATTGTACATATTATAATTATAATTTTTGCTGTGTATTTATAGCTGAACTGATCGACTACCAGAGACGTTTAATACTTACTGAATACTACAAATTCACTGGTTTGCATACAAAAGAATGGTTATCCCAAGATACAGAAGACATACCTGGTTTATTTCCTCATCACCTAGATCCTGGTGCCATTACTATACGAACAACTCCAAGCAGTGGTTCTGGTGGTAAGCGAATGCGAAATTCATCAAACCGGTCACCCGAAGAAGCACGATGGGTGTGTCCAACTTGTGGAAAGCGGTACAAATATAGTCGTGGCTTAGCTATGCATAGGCGGTTAGAATGTGGTAAAGAACCTATGTTCCATTGTCCCTTTTGTCCACAAAAATGTCACCAAAAAGGCAATATGGTCATACATATTAAGAAAAAACACCCTACCCAATATGAGGAACAATCGCAAGCTGTTGTACAGGCGCATGTTAAAGCACAGCATGTCCAAAGCGATTAATACAATTTTTTCCCTCAGTATTTTTGTTTTAATTTAATTTTATATGTCTTTTTAGGCACATGCTACTACTTATTTAAATTTTTATAAAATTTATATTTATTCTATGTTTAAATTTATATTTACATATTTATTAAATTTTCAAGGTCATATTCTATCACAATACCTCCCCCTACCCCCTTGTTGTAGTTATACATTTTTATTTAAAATATGCAAAATTATTGAGTTTTCTTAATAATCATTAATACTCATAAGATAAATCTTGACTGATAATATTAACAATAATTATACCCATATTTGTATTTGTTAGTTATTATTTTGTTATTATGTATAATATAAAAAATATTATACTATACACATGATTAAATAACATGCATTAATCAGTTTAATCTACCTCTTTTGATATGACCAAGAAATGCCCTCTTCTTTCGTCCCCCCACTAGACTTAAACCGTTACCTATTTCATAATTGAATTGCAATTATTTTAATACCCATTTGCAATAAAAGTGCAATGCATATATTTATTTTATATCAATATTATTTTTTCAGCTATTTTGCTTGTACATATTTAATTTTTATTTTGTTAAATTATAAATATATATTTTTTTTCGAAATAAGTTTTTTTTTCAAATTCATTAATACATTTATATTTTAGGTATTTGTTTTTTTTATTATTATTATTATTATTTTTTTTTTTTTATTATTATTATTATAATTATTATTATTATTAGAAAAGTATTAATTGATTTTATAGTATTAACAAACCAAAACAAATGAAATTGAGTCTTCCAAGTGATAATTAAGCTATTAGAACAAGTTGAGATATATATTTTTGATTGTAATCTCGATCCCGTCCCAATTAAGATTATGCATGTACAAATAATCTTAAACTTGAGATATATACTTAAAACAAACACTATTGTATACAAATTTTTATTTTATAAAATTGTTAATGTATTTTTTCTACTTAAGAATGTTTTATTTTATAACAGTATTAAGATGACAAATTACTTGTTAGTTATGTCTTGTATTATACAAATGACCCAAAGTATTATGGATTAGTTTTTAATGGTATTTTATTTATTTAATAAAAATGTGTAATTAAATTTTTATTTTAAGTAATATAATTGTTGGGTTATTTTTTTGTTAGCCTAAAACAACTTATAATTTTGGTGGTTTTGTAAGTTTTTTCTTTATAGATTGTACTTACAAGTTTCAAATTATTGTTTTGATTAGTATTCAAATTTTACTTAAAACAATTATTTCGTTACATTTACCTGAAACATGTAAATATATATTTAAATTGTTATATATAATTTATTTTTATTTATTATAATATTAAAAATGATCCCTATGTACCTTATTATCATTTATGTTCTTTTTATCAAAAACATGTACTAATTCACTTTTTTTTTACAGGTGTTATGCTAATACAAGCCAAATCATACAGTAGGTCAACAGCATTATCATCACAACAATAAATTATTATTCCACTCATAATGTACATTAAATAATCATTTCTTTTCTTATCTATAGACAGCTGTAGTTAAAAATGATATATTTTAACTATTGATTTTTTTTTGTATACTTTTTTTCTCATCCTGTCATAGTTTTTACTTCTAGAATATTAAATATTTTTACAGCGCTGGATCGATCTAAATTTAAAAAAATTCAAATCAAGAGTTAGATGTTCAATAATGACAAAAGCTATTACTAAAATTAATAATTTATTATCTTACCTATCTGTTAAATAAAATAATACTTGTACTTTTTTATTTTAACTGGTAGGTTTCTGTATTAGTAGTTCAGTAGTATTTGCAATAATCTTATTAGTATTTATTGTGAAATTGGCTTATACTTTTCGCACGCTCTTGTTTTGCACCTGAGCATGTCTCTAGCTTCTTCTATCACCACTGCTCCTCATATTAACAACTGGTGGTTGCAGTTACAGGCGATGAAATGGCCACAATCACTGCCACACAGCGTGTGGTGAATAATCATCTGACCAATTTCAATTATCACCATTTGTCAAGTGTAATTAAATACTTGAATAATCAACAACAAACACCACAACAGCCACAACAGCCAAAAACATGGACAACAACTAATGCATTATCAATATCGCAAAGATATTTTGAGAAGATTGCTCCAGCATCCGTAGGCATTCCTGCATTGATGAATCAAAATTTTTATGATATGCAGGTATAGTATTTGTTATTAATATAATATCATAGAACTAACTGATATAATGTGTTCTTATATAAATTTACATGCATGATGATAAAATAGTTGTTGTAACAAAACATTTCTCATAGGATTCTGGATCAGATGCATCTGGTCATGACGGCTATGGTAGACACAGGAGACATAATAGGGACAAGGAACCTATATTTCAATGCCCTGACTGTGACAAAAGGTATCGCTCTAAAACAAGCTTAAGTTTACATAAACGTCTTGAATGTGGAAAAGAACCAGCCTTCCAGTGTCCATACTGTCCGCTCAAAACACATCAAAAAGGTAACCTACAAGTGCATATAAAAAAGAAACACAACGATCATGGAGAACTTAATAGGACTTATTGAATTTTACTAGTATAACTACATTGGTCTGATAAATATTTAGAGAGATGATAGTGCCATCCCCTAGAGTCATAACTTTTAATTTATTTCGTTAATTATAGAAATATTCAAATGATTTTGAATATATAAAAAACCATAACATAAATAAATTAAAAAGTCTGGTTCTAAAACTCATTCGTACAAACCATAATTTATAACTGTTATTTTTACTTTAATATTTAATTTAGGTTAAGTTATAAATTTTTAATTAAAATTTAAAACAATTTCAATATTAATAGTATTTTCAAAAATTAACTTATTTAATTGTTGTTAATAAGTAATAAAAAAAAGATTGATATTTTATCTTTGATAGATAATTATTAGGTCTCAATTTCATTTAAAAACTTATCGTTTATTCCATAACAGGAGCATCATGAAAACAGGGTGTTATTTTTCATATTTACAAAAGCTCTTCAATAGATTCCTTATTACATTTAAATTTTAGATTTTCTGATTCTTGAATAATTAATTATATCAATCTATGTATACGGTATTATATAATGTAAGTGACTGATGTTCTTTTCTTAACTAAATTATGTAACTACACAGAACACAAAATATTTTAACTTGACCTATAATTAAATAGCTAAGCATCCCATTTGTAATTAAAAATCACAAGTTAAAAAAAATTATCCAAATCAAGTTATATGTAGATAATTTATTTTAAAAAAACTTACAAACTATGTATTCTTTTAATATGAACAAATTTACACTCTTTATAATAATTTATTTTATGGACCAAAATGTCTGCATATCCGAGTTTCCATAAAATTTCTAACAAAATCAATTATAAGACCATTTAATATTTTTGTGGATTGCATAATCAATAACACATAGATACTTCCATGCCGTCCATGTAATCATGTATTATAATTTAGTTCACACCAAAGTTTTTTTAAGCATAAATGATATATTTATCATAAAGATAGTTTTTCCTTTATGATTGTAGTATTTTGTTATAATATTATAATACATGTTTAAAAAATAGTTAATAATAAGCCATTAATTTTACCAAAGTTACCTATCTCATACTAAGATATTTATATTGCAAAAAAATTTACAAAAATGTGCCTTAAACTTGGCTACACGTGAATTACTGTTGTAATTGATATTCCCCAGTTTTTAACACTTTCATTTCAATGAGACTCACAGTGGATGGTGATATTATCTCTTTAAATGCTATAATAGAATAAAACACATAAATGTTACTTTCCAAAGAATATAAAATTTATAATTATTTCATTTTAAAAATGCAATGTTGCTCTCTCTACTTAAGATCTCTAAAGATATATATATATTTATATAAAAATATATATATTATTAAATATTATTTAATAAATTTATTAAAGTTTAATTATTAGCAATAAGAAACAAACTGTCTGAATGTAAAATCTATAAAAAAAAAAATCTACCTCATATTACTACGAGTAGTTTATCCGTTAATGAGTGCAATTTTTCCTATTTTATAAAATGTAACTATGTATAAAAAAAAAGTTATACGTCTTGTTCCTAGTTACTTTTTTAATATTTATTTACATATTCATATATAGATATATTTATATATATATAAATTATCATATTATTATTACTATTATTATTTTTTGTAATTTTATTTTTTGTAGTACATCTATCTACCTCATTAATAGCTTTAAAAAACAAAATGTACAAACAATATTACTGTTCTTTTTTTTTTTTTTTTTTTTTTTTTAATTATTATTTATTATTATTTTTACATCACTTATTGCATTAGATATTAAGCCATCAAGACTAAACCAACACTCGAAGTACAAATTTGCGATTGCAGGAATTTATTCAAATTAATAATTTTAATGTAATTTGTAGGGTATAATAATATTCATCTAGTTAGTTTAAACAGGGGTTCTTTTTTGTGTAGCTACACATTATTTTACTAGACTTGCCTATATGATTTAGAACCTTGCATAAGTTATATTTTTCCGGTGGTAATATTGTTCCTAATACCAAAAATATATGTTATATAATTCCTACTATAGAGGAAATGGGAGGTAATTATCTAGAAACAATATTATTAAATTATGTTTGCTTATAAAAATACACTCTAGATAGAATTGTGTGCGCAATGTCATTCTCAAAGCAATATATTTGTAACTTAGTTGGACATGAGACTAAGACAAAAGGCAATAACTTTATGTAGAAAATAATTTTAATATCTAAGCCCATTCAAAAACTTGTGTTAGAATTATTGAACCCCATATAATTGATTTTTTTTTTTTTTTAATCGCAATCATTGAAGGTACAACATTTACTTTTAATAATCAACTTAAAGTACAAACAAATTCTAAATAATTAATATGGTTCGACCACAATATTGTTATGTATAATATGTATATAATGTAAATGGATAAATTCTTAAAATATTTTAATTTTTTTTCTTCCTTTTTTACTTTATTTTGTAATAACAAATCTATACCACCACCTCAGTACATAAGATCATAAGATAACATTTAATTTTAATTTTTTTTTTCTTCATAGTTCCTATTTTTTAGACAAACTATGCATTTTACCTTTTTATATTTTTATTTTAATCATACAAATAGTGTTCATTTTAGTGAAGAATTATTTTGTTCAAACATCTTAAAATATGTAAATCTTCATGTACCTGATGTTTTGCATTTAATTAATAGGTTACTAGCACTCACAATGTTTCCAAAGGTATTTTCCTTCCAAGTATAATATTATGTACAACAATTTTATGTTTAAGCATAATTACTTGCAATAAGTGTTTTTTGTATGCATACTGTGTTAAATATTTTTAATTTGTTTTGTAAGCACACAACACATCATAAACACATGAGCAGTATTATTGAATTTTCTTCATCGTACTATTATATACCTAACCTTTATTTGAATTTTTTTTTATTATTATTATTTATGAGATCAAATATATTATTTATTTAGAAAATATGTGTATATGTTTTGTGCACTAAATTTAGATGCTTAGTTTTGATAAAATGTAAGAGTAGTATAATGCAATATGTTGTAATTTAAAAACAAATTTATAAAAAAAAAAAAAAAAACACTTGTCATTTAAAGAAAACTAATATAAAATATATTAGTTTCTGAATAAAATAAATTGTATTTTTATTTATGTTTCATGACATTATAAAATTATTACAGGTACATTAATTTAATCTTGTCAATGCAATAAACACTTGTCATGTCATAGTAACTCAATAAATAATTTAACATACCGGTTGCACAAATTGGGGGAGAGGTGCTTAACTCCCTAAAACCACTCAAAACCCCCTCAAAAAATAACTATATTATAATATATGGATATTGTTCATAATAAAAGTTATCTTCACGGGTATTTTTTGTTTTTTTACACCAATAAGGAAATTGATTTATGAAATAAAATAATATTACAATAAACAATATTACTAATTATCAATAGATTAGATATTTTATGATAATGTCTAAATAATTATATAATTATTTTTGGAAAATCACTAATGGTAGGACCATAGCAACGACGACATCCAACTAGTCAAGTTGGCCAACAATTGGGAAAACCAAAACCATTTTCTTAATAGCTCCAAACGAATAGCTAGTTCGTTCATGTATCATATTGATTTATAATAACACTATTATTACCAAACACTACTAATTCCTTACGTCTTTTATCTATAAAGTTGATCTTTTATATAGTGTATTACTTATATTAGTATGTTCAATCGATTTTATTTTTATTGAAATTTGAAAATAAATATGTTCAGTGTTTTTTAATATTAAAAAAATCTTGTGCTCGACTAAATATGTCGGACTATACGCCTTCGCATTCATCTTTAATAAAAACATGGTTGTGAACTTAAATGAACCAAGATAAATTTAACAAGTTAAGTATTTTGAATACAGAAAGTTGTATCAATAATAAAGACATTAAATATTTTGAAACATTTGAGAGACGTATAAAATTACATTAAAATATATCCCTATTTATTTAAATAAATGGATAATGATAAAATATGTATGTAGCTATTTTATAAACAATTTTTATTTTTTTTTCAATGGAATAAATCTATTAATTTATAAGGAAAATATTTGAAAACTTGTAACATTATAATATTTATACTTACGTAAAATACGTTTACTATGTATGATAGGTAAATACTTACCTACTTAAGTTCATAATTGAAAAATACATAGGTATATACTTAAAACTGTTAGACCAAATATTATATTTCCGAAAAAAAAAATGTTTTAGGGCTTGAGTCTCCTTTAAAAAATTTCCCCTTCTGCGCCCATAAACAATATACAATGACGACGATTGAATCTCGTAATATAAACTGAATACATGTATTGATAATTATTGTTAATAAATATATATATATTTACGTTTGCATATCTAACCAATTTGTAATTTATCAAAGGTATTTTAATAATATCAGTTTAAATCAATGAAACTTTGTTGCACTATTTTTTGTTATATTTATCAATTTAACAGTTTAAAACCATAATTTATAAGTTATAAGAACAACTGAACAATTTATACCGGGTGAACAGACCAGTGATTAAACAGTCAAAGTTTTGTTAATTCTAGCATGATAAAATGTAATCATAAATTAGTTTTTTATTTTATATTCGTATAGTACCTGAAGCCTTGAAGATTGGTTCGCTTGTGTACTTTAAAATTATTATTAAGAAACCAAATCACTCTTAAACATATTAGTTAGTAGAAAAAAAAAATGAAATCCTAGTGATTGAACACAGCGTGCTAGTTTTTGAGCATTTGAAGCCCAGTGCAAGAATAATTAAGAACTACCTTTATTAAAAAACAACTCAAATCATAGCATATTTTAAGAATTTTTTACTAGGTGACACTATCATTATAAATCATAAGGACTAGCTCAAATACTTACCTCGAGCTAGGGTTTTAATCAGGGGGAAGTTAATAACTGTTTTTTTTTTTTTTTTGTTCTTTCCGCTTTATAGTAAAACTTACACCCCATCCTTGTCGGATATATCTTTTTATGTTTTCTACTTGTGACATGGAGTACGAGACACATTCATAAACTACTAGGTGGCACAAGTGTCACCTACTTTATTTGTTAAAATATGCAAATCTTAAAAATAAATAGGTAGTAAATTTGAAGACCAGTTTCGTTGCAATTAAATATTCCAGATGGATCATTTAATACAGCG